ACCCCTATAGCAGCAACACAAAAATTGTCTTGTGGTATCATAGAACCTTTTCTTTTGTCAGAAAACATCCTATTAAAACAGCCATCCTAACAGATGCATGACATATCCTAATATCCTCTTCTTGTTAGCCAGTCACCTAGCTGTGAGTGTTTGAGGTAAAGCTAAGTTTGCAAGCAATCTCCAGCATTAGAGCAACAGTTAAATCTGTTAATGTATATAAAAAAAAAATCAAAAATAAACTGGGATTCTTGCAAGAAGCATTATGCAAGCTCCTATCTTTGGCACATTTTTCTGCTGGAAACTGTACCAGATACCAATATGTATTGAACATTATAAATAATATTTTGATTACATTTTTTTTTTTTATCATTTTCATTGCCAAAATGTAACTCTTTATACATTTTTTTGTACCGTGTAAATTTTTTTTACAAAAAGGACATTTAAAATACGCTCAATCTGTATATAGGCCTAGTATGTATTTCAATTTCTTCCTTATTTCAGTGTAAAACGGAATCCCTCATTAGACCTTGCTTCACTTTAAAATTTCAAATGCATTACAACATGCTTTAACACCGGCGACCACAGGGGAAATGATCATCCTTCAGGGCCATTTAGAAACAAAATACCTGCACCGCTTTCTAACAGCAGAAACAATAACATGCGCATCCCATTTCCGCTCTCACTGACAGGCGGTGAAACGTCATGGAGCCTGAAGTGGGTCAACTGTCAGCTGTCGGTTTAGATGTCCCCCTGAATGAGTGAGTGAAATGAGCAGGAATGCGCCACGCAAATTAATTCTCAGCAGCTAAATACCTTCTGCCAAGGCTCTCATAAATTATTGAAGGGAGTGAAACAAGTGCTGGCTCGGAGTTTAAAGCGGGAATAAATTGTCTGCGCTTAGAGCCGCAGCTCGGATGTGGGACGATTTCCCCAGAGGACGTTCAAGTAGGAAGTCAATTTAAAATCGTTTGCTTCCAGTTTGCAAGCCTGCATATTTACTCAAATAATAATAATATTAATAATACAATTTGTATTGGTTGTTAACTTACATTTATCACCAAGGATGCCATCGATGCTATGCTTTGTTTTCTTTTCTCCATCTTCATCCTTCTTATCACAGTCATCCTCGTCATCTTTTTTGCCAAATCGGGCCCTCAAAACGCGGCTGATGGAACTCACTAATGGCAACAAAAAGGTAAATGGGTGATTAGGCCTAAAAGCCATAACAGAACCAGAATAATCCTATGAAACATTTTTCTGTCTTGCTCTCTCTATATATCTCAAATAAAAAAAAAATAATAAATAAAAAAAAAAGGCACAGGAAAAGTTTCTGCAGCGTTTTCAGAGCAAATATAATGAGCACTGAAGCCACATTTCAACAGGATATATTAACTATTTCTCTGATTTTGCTTACAGAGGCGTTTTATTATCAGGGGGAGGGGGTGGGAGCTTAAGATATGTTAAATTCACAGTGATGTTCATTGAGAGGTGATGCTGCGGTGTTTCGCTAGTAGTAAGGGAAAAAAAGTGCAGCTTACCAGATGAAGCCTCACCTGAAGGAACTGTGCTTCTGTCGCACACCCCGTCCTTCAGCAGCTTATCCCGGATCTCCCAGCTGAACATACCCGGGTTTTCTCTCTTGTACTCTTCGATCCGCTTCTCCACGTCGGGAGTTGCCACCTGCTTTAGGTTTGAAATTTGATGATGGCAAGTAAAAAAGAAAAAGAAAAAAAAAGAGAGAAAGGAATTTTAGTCGGAGGAAAACAGATACAGTACAAAATAAAATACAGTTAAAATAATTTAGAGGCGACATGACTGAATACATTTGATAGAAAAAATCTATATAAGCTAATTAAATATATAAATTAATTTGATCAGAAATAGGCTACTATAGTAAAAATCCATTTTACACAAACATATTATCCATTGTGCTGCATTGATCCCTATGGAACAATAAATACTATTTTAGCCTATTTGTCAGATTATCTTTGATCAATTATAACATTTTTTTTTTAAAGTTTTAGGAATCAATTTATGTACAAATAGATAATAATAAAAACAGATAAAAATGAAGCCTAACTTGAAACAAACGTGGAGCCTTTTGGATAACCTATCAAAATAAAATACCATAGAAATGAAAATAAAATGCAATTTTTGACGAGGTTTAAAACACAGTAATATATAATTATAGAAGTCTTTTCGTTTTCAAAATAGTTGTATATTAAAAGGAAAAAGCTACATTAACTGTCAATATTTTTTGTTTGCATTCATAACATATTTGAAGACACGTTAAAAATTTTAACATCATAATCTAAATCAAATTTGACCATCAATATCAGTCAATAGATATGATATAAAGGGTTGTAATGCAAATAAAATTTCAAGGTACATTGAAGTAGACCGTATTATTATTATTATTGGGCTTTATAAACCCATGAATAAATTTAATCATAACTTTTGACGTTGACCCATGGCTGCGGATCACCACTCACCCTGGGCTTGCTGCCCCCTATGGCCCCTGGACGTATCGAGCCGGTCTCCTGGTATCGGCACAGGATCTTGGAGACGCAGCCATGAGAAACTCGCAGTTGTCGCGAGATCACGCAGGGCCGGATGCCATGGTGGGCCATCTCCACTATCTTGTGTCGGATGTGATTTGGCAGGGGCCTCCCGTTGATGAAGACTCCACCAAGTTGGTTCACCCTGCCCTGGCCCAGAGGGGTGGACACTGCATCGCAACAAGCAAAAACAAAAACTTCAATTTATTTTTAACAAACTTTCATATAAAACAAGACTATAACAATTAACATAACCCTCTTATAACTGTGATTGTAATTTCATTGGATAATTGCCACATGTGTTGCTTACTTTGTTTCGTGCGCAGTTTACGCACATTATCATATTAACCATTTTTCAGGGAGCTTCGTGCCAAATTCATCCTAGGATGCATCCAAGGATCCACTCCAGGATGCAATTTCACATCTGAGAGACACTAGAGAGGATGGCACTTCCCACCTTGATTATTCCTAGTCATGCTGTACAAATATTGATGTGATCCTTTGAGCCATCTCTTTGCCGTGTCTATTATTGCCATTTCCAGCTGCGGGACCACTCCAACAAATCCCACAGCTCGAGTCACTTGCGAGCTACGTGGTTTTTGTACATTTCAGTCCAGGGCACTTGAGCACGAAGCGGGTGCAGAATGGGGAGGAAATAGTTTCCCGAAAATACATGCAAATGCAATGATCTTTTTTGCTGTTGTTATTTACCCCCGTAGTGCATACGGATGTGCGTCCAGGGACATGCAAAAATAGTATTAAAAATAAATGCAAATTAAGCATTTAAATCTGTGGGCCAAATTAATTCACACTAATATAATTAAATATTTAAGTAGGCCTTATGTGTATCGAGTAGTTTTAAAGTGTTATATTCAAATAATATTATTAAGCAATAACAAAAGTAAACAGAAAAGATCCTGTCTGAAATGCATATAAATATAGCCTAAATACTCATTATTTTTTAATAAATCGTGCACCGTTGTGAATGAGCAGTTTTTAAAACACCAGTTAGTATTTCTGCGGCTATAAATCTCCCCTCACCATGACTTGAGGTTAACTTTAATCAGCTCTGACTGCGGCGCGTTTTGTTCACCCATCTTTTTTATTTCCCAGCATGTCGCCGATGACAAACTGTGCGTACCATAGAAGCTGACAGAGCGGATTGTTTTATTTTGTATCTAACCAGCACAAGGTCAAACACTAGGCACCCATGGGCTGTCCTTCTCCTCACCTTCCAAGGGGAAGCCGGTTCTTGGGTAGTTCTGGCCTGGCGCAGGGCGCACCATCCGAGGCACTGTTCCCGGTAAAGTAGCCATCCTCTAGCTACTGGGGCAATAAAAATAAAAAAAATAAAACCCAAATCACTGTGCAGTGGAACCTGCTTCACTCTAAAAGTCCAAACCAGGAAACAACCAAGAATAAGAAAAATAAAAAAAATAAAAAGGAAAAACGGAATGTTTTTTTTTTTTGAAAGATCAGAGAATAGACACTGTTAAATCCCAAATCCTAGGGGGAGAAAATCTGGACAGACACTTCTTCCACCCAGGGGAAAATACATATATGTATAAAAAAATAAATGCTCTCCTTTTTCTTAATAAATATACCAAAACGAAACGAATAAACGCAACAACAGCTGAAATGAAACGCTCTAGAGAGATTAAGTTTGTAGAAAAATAAAAAATAAAAAAAGGAGGAGCAAGCGGCTGAATGATAGTGCGCTGTGGGAAACGCGGTGTTATTCCTTTCCCCCTGGTGTAGTTTGGGTTGGATATAATGTCTGCCGGCTGCCTGGAAGTAGTTTAAGTGGCCAACTTTCGTGCATGTCGTAGGAGGAGACAGCGGAGCGCTCCCATAGGCTCGCTGCCCTTTCTTTTATGGATGAAAGGGAGTGGGTTTAGCCAAGAGCCCGGCAACCAATCAGATCATTACATTTTTACTTTTTTCTTGTATTCACTGCTGCCTCTCTTAACGGGCCACATAGGATATATACTATAAGAAGCAAAGGTTTGGTCAAATTTAACAAAGCAGTAAACATCTGAACTTTTTCTTGATAATGAAATTTAGTTCACATCTTGGGATGTTTACTATATCATATAATGTCTAACTTTATTTATTTATTTGTTTATTTATTCATTCGTTTATTTATTCATGTATTTATTTAACTTTTAAAACTATTTGGTTAAAAAAAAGAGCCAGCTTTGTTATTACGGTATAATTGTAGTCATAAACTAAAAGAAGTGTGATTGAAACAATGTTTAAATTGACAGTTAAGTTAGAGTGCTTTTTAAATCCTTCTGTGTTTCTTTTTTTCTGCACTACAACCAGGAGCCGCCCTGCCAGGCGGAGGTTAGAAGAACTGCGGCCCTTTGCTTGTTAACCTTTCAATTAGTCTAACTGCGCGCTGCATGCGCATCCCAGTCAGCTCCTCTTGCTTTTGTTGTAATTGGCTACAACATTTGAATCGAACCGATATTGATGACAGCAGGTCAAGTACAGAGGGCACCCTTTACTGGTAAATGTTTTAAAAAATTGTATATAATAATGCGTCACAATTAGAGCTAAACAGAAGGAGCGCATGTGGCTGAAGAGAGGAGAGGAGGTGTGCGTGTGTGCTGGCTCTGTGGGCCCACCGTGCATATAAAATCGTGTGACAATTGCCGTGGAAAACACTCCTGGTGGAAGGCAATTTCACAAATAATTTTAGCAACAATTAGGGAGTGTGGAGGGGTGAAATGGCGATTTCACGTGCAGATGCGCCGGTGGGAACGAGCCACCCCGCCGAACGGATCTCTGACCCTGGCTCTGCAGCTTTTTGGTCTGCTTCGCATGGGACGAGGAGCCACAAAGAAACCGCCTAAGACTCCTGGGGAAGGCGCAAAGAGCGCCGGATTAAGTCCGGCATCAATCATGCGGTAACCCAAATATCCAGGAAAGAATAAAATGGAAAAAAACAAAACAAAAACAAAATTATCCCACCTCTTCTGAGCTACAACAGGTATGTCTTTGAAATGAGACTCCGCATTCCCTGAAAAAAAAACCATTGGTTCAGCCCCATAAGGTCTTGCCTCTGTTATCCTAATCATTACAAGCTTGATATTCATTTGCCATGCATCTGTTTATAATTACACCAAATATAAAAGCATTAGCAGAGTGCAGACGATTTTCACATTGCGGAGAATTAAACACCCAGGCAGTAGAGTTTTCTTTCATATATTAACACGCATTTGTGGCATTTTCTTCCATGCAGTGTCAACACAAAATAAATATATGTTCTGTAAAAGGCTGTTTGAAAGGTGGTTTTACAAAAGCGTTGCAATTGCTCAGCAGCTCTCCTAAAATGTTTGCATGTTAAAACAAAACCAACAAATGCCGCTGTGGTTGAAATGCAGGATTTTCTTGCAGGATTTTATAACATTTCACATATGATATGTTAAAACAGGCGGAAATCACTAACACTATGATAAGGTCAGACATATGCGGCAAACTTTACTCTGGCGTTATTATTGTATTTATCCTAATCAATTACAATTAATCAATTTAATTACATATTTCTAAACCATTGGACCTGTTTTTCTTAAGACCGTAAAGGAAACCTAAAGGCTAAAAGGGTCTGTGGCCACTAGTAAATGAGTTTATTTTCTCTTTTATTGTCAATTGGCTGAATGCAAAAGATATGCAGCTAAACTGAAATTGTTGATCCACATAGACCCATAGTGCAACAAGAAAGCAATACATAAAAAAAGCAACAAAAAACAAAAAAACAACTAAAAAACAATAAATAGGGAATACATGAGCAAGGGACAAAATGCACTGATGTTGGTGAATGTAAATAAATCAATTAATGATTACTTCTAAAAAATAACTGTTTATTTTGCCTGGTTTTAAACCGAAGATTCACCCTTGTTGCACTATAATTTGTTTTTTCTGGTTCACTCAGCGTCTGGCTCATATAACCAAGTCAGTCACTAAAGTTTCCTCTCAGCTACGGCAGACAGAAAAAAAACAAAGCTTTCTCTCCAACATGATAATGTCTCCAATCTTATCTTGATCACGACCGCTCTTCAAACACTTGCCTGCTTAGCCTCTCATTATTTGTGTTATGGCAATTACCCAAAGTTTCTTTTTTGCTCGTAGGTGAACACCCCTCCTCCTCCTCTCATTCTTATTTCACTATGGATTTTTCTTTATGCATAGTTTTCGTTATTTACTTTGAGAAGCAGAAAGGGAAAACACCTTTGATGGGAGGCATTGCCAATTTGTGCTTTTATCTTTTTCTAAGAAGAACCAAAGAAAGTTAATTTTATAAGGATATACATGTTGAACATTTTCAAACACTTTATTTTACACAGAATATAATCCTCCAAAAAACACTTTCTGGTTTATAAAAATGTAGTAATGTAAAAATCATTTTTAAATAACATAATTAAAAAAGAAATGATTTAAAAGACAATTTGGACATCTGCCTAATTGCATTTATTCTTGTGATCTTTACTTGACACAAATAAGGGGTCTCTGCTTAATATAAGCAGTGACTCTTAAGTGGAGGATTTCCTTTTTGAGTTTGTGCATTAGGCTATTCGCTGAAAACACCAAATCAGAACTCTGCAAAGTTGGGATATAAAACGGCTGCCTTTCTCAACAGCGCTGGTTGCTGTTCAAAATGATTCATGCAAACATATGTAAAACAGATGTAACCATGATCAACTGCAGCCCAAAGTTTTTAAGAGCAACTATGAAGAGTGGCCTTGATTTTGCCACCATCCCTGCCATCTACTTGAAACCAAGACCACAACTGTGAAAGATTGTTCACACTGTTATAGCAGTGATAAAGTCTGTATTTCCACCAAAGACTTGTTAACTTGCTGAGACATTTTCACATCTGTTCAGAATTATCCGTATGTGTAATCACCTCCTTATGGAGAATTATTTTTCTTTTATCCCGGCACACAGCAAGATTATAAAATGGTCTCTTAGGAGGAGACTAGTGTAAAGCCTTACTATGTGTTGTGTAAATGTAATTAAAGAAAGCTGATTTGAGATATTCATCACATTATGCATGGCACAGAGAGGAGCTGTGATAAGGCATGTAGACTCTATCAAGGTGATCTTTGGTTAATAAGGAGACCAGGGATTCCAAAAAAAGTCATTTGGAACATGTTAGCTGACATGTGAACCTTGACTGACATTTCATTGCTCTCTCTCTCCCAGCTATAGAAAATCCAAAGCATTTCATGGAAACTCGAGAGTAAAGTTAACAAGGAGAATAAGAAACAGATAAAGGTGATCAGTTTGGAAAATCTAAAAGTAATACATTTGATAGAAACTCAAAGTTAGTAACGATGTCTAGAAAATCACGAAGAAGCACCCTCATTGAAATTAAAAAGATTTAAGCAATGGAAAATAGAACAGCAGGCTTTTTCTTTCGCAAAAAACAACAAAACAATTTTAAGCCTTTAGGACTATAGAAAACTCCTGAAAAAATAGACAAGGTAATAAAAAAGTTTAGCCCAGCTTTGGTACTGATCAGGCATTAAATATCTGTTATTTGTAGTTAAAAGTCCCATTGAATTGCTTAAGACTGCACCTCCTCTACCTTCTAGTAGGTTTCTTATGGCTGATAAAATGCAGCTTATCGTTGATAATAGCTGCTTCGGCCATGTCTAAACCCTTAAACCTCACTTTCTATAAGCCTAGTTTATACTTTCCTATACTTTATTTACAGCCTACGTTCTTAAAAAAAATAGTGTTTTATAGCTTTACTAGTGAATTCTTTCTTTTGAGGGGTTGTCCAATAACACTGACATGCCAATCAACCTATTTTTACAATAGATTAAGATGTTCAGATTACACATAAATAGATTAATTAATTCTGGAGGTAAAAAGGAATTACTTTAGGGTTAGGATTAGGGTTCAATGGGTGATAACAACCGACTGAGCCTACTGGTAAGTAGAAGGCACAATCTGATACGAATCTATGGGACTAATAAACAATAATAACCAAATGATACCACCTGAAGCACCTGAGAAAAACCTAGCTACTTCTCTTCAATAAACGTACCCTGCATTGTCCTAGGATAAATTGTGAAACAGGCATGAAATGAAAAAAAAAACAAAACATTGTATTTGTGCTGATGGAACCAAAATGGTTTATATATTTTTTGACTTTTCAGGTAATGTATAAGGTTTCCTTTGTGCCTACTCCATGTTTGTGTTGAGAACATTGATTTGGAACCAAGAAAAATTGACAAAGGGGATTCCTGACATGTGGTAAAATGGTTAGCTTTAGGATTTGCCAAGCTTATATATTTTTTTCTCACCAAAGGGAATGCAAAAAGTGAGGGAAGATACAAATGGGTTATAACAACAAATAATGGCTTTAAAAAAAAGAACCGATTGGGACTTTTTGGAATACATACAAAATGTTGGCAAAGCAATTGAAAATATGGGATAGCATGATGGTGGCAGCCCTTTGATGGACTTATGACCTTTCTAGGCTTAGGGTTAGGATAGGGAGATAGGTGTTAGCCCCTCTGAGTTACTCTAATTATGCATACACATATTTAAAGGCATTTTTTCACTACTATACTTTTCTATCTATCGCATGTGGAGCTGATTGATCTTGTCGTTTGTACCTCTGCTTCTTTTTCTATTTCTCCGTCTGTCTCCTTGAACCCCAGTCGGCCTCGGCAGATGGCCGCTCACACTGAGCATGGTTCCACTGGAAGTTTCTTCCAGTTAAAAAGTAGTTTTCCTCTCAACTGTCGCTACAAGCATGCTTGGTGTGAGGGATTGCCTTCAAGTCAATGAGTCAATGCAAT